GTCACCTCGTCCCCTCTTTTCCTTCTCTATACATCTCTGTCTCCTCAGTCCCCACCTTCTTCTTCATGTCCATCCCTCTTCGTTCCTTCTCTCTCCATCCCTATCTCAATCTTAATCACCATCTCCTCAGTCTTCATCTTCTTTATGTCCATCATCATCCCTGCCCCCATCCCGTCTATCTTCAGCTCTGTCTTCTCTATCTCCATTTCTGTCCTTTGTTTTATCGTCACCTTCCCTTTTTTCTCTCCTCTGTCTCCATCTGCTCTGTTTGTTGATGTCTCCATATTCCCCATCTCCTTCCCCATATTCCCCATCTCCTTCCCCATATTCCCCATCTCCTTCCCCATATTCCCCATCTCCTTCTCCGTATTCCCCATCTCCTTCCCCGTATTCCCCATCTCCTTCCCCGTATTCTCCATCTCCTTCTCCGTATTCCCCATCTCCTTCTCCGTATTCCCCATCTCCTCCTCCGTATTCCCCATCTCCTCCTCCGTATTCCCCATCTCCTCCTCCGTATTCCCCATCTCCTCCTCCGTATTCCCCATCTCCTCCTCCGTATTCCCCATCTCCTCCTCCGTATTCCCCATCTCCTCCTCCGTATTCCCCATCTCCTCCTCCGTATTCCCCATCTCCTCCTCCGTATTCCCCATCTCCTCCTCCGTATTCCCCATCTCCTCCTCCGTATTCCCCATCTCCTCCTCCGTATTCCCCATCTCCTCCTCCGTATTCCCCATCTCCTCCTCCGTATTCCCCATCTCCTCCTCCGTATTCCCCATCTCCTCCTCCGTATTCCCCATCTCCTCCTCCGTATTCCCCATCTCCTCCTCCGTATTCCCCATCTCCTCCTCCGTATTCCCCATCTCCTCCTCCGTATTCCCCATCTCCTCCTCCGTATTCCCCATCTCCTCCTCCGTATTCCCCATCTCCTCCTCCGTATTCCCCATCTCCTCCTCCGTATTCCCCATCTCCTCCTCCGTATTCCCCATCTCCTCCTCCGTATTCCCCATCTCCTCCTCCGTATTCCCCATCTCCTCCTCCGTATTCCCCATCTCCTCCTCCGTATTCCCCATCTCCTCCTCCGTATTCCCCATCTCCTCCTCCGTATTCCCCATCTCCTCCTCCGTATTCCCCATCTCCTCCTCCGTATTCCCCATCTCCTCCTCCGTATTCCCCATCTCCTCCTCCGTATTCCCCATCTCCTCCTCCGTATTCCCCATCTCCTCCTCCGTATTCCCCATCTCCTCCTCCGTATTCCCCATCTCCTCCTCCGTATTCCCCATCTCCTCCTCCGTATTCCCCATCTCCTCCTCCGTATTCCCCATCTCCTCCTCCGTATTCCCCATCTCCTCCTCCGTATTCCCCATCTCCTCCTCCGTATTCCCCATCTCCTCCTCCGTATTCCCCATCTCCTCCTCCGTATTCCCCATCTCCTCCTCCGTATTCCCCATCTCCTCCTCCGTATTCCCCATCTCCTCCTCCGTATTCCCCATCTCCTCCTCCGTATTCCCCATCTCCTCCTCCGTATTCCCCATCTCCTCCTCCGTATTCCCCATCTCCTCCTCCGTATTCCCCATCTCCTCCTCCGTATTCCCCATCTCCTCCTCCGTATTCCCCATCTCCTCCTCCGTATTCCCCATCTCCTCCTCCGTATTCCCCATCTCCTCCTCCGTATTCCCCATCTCCTCCTCCGTATTCCCCATCTCCTCCTCCGTATTCCCCATCTCCTCCTCCGTATTCCCCATCTCCTCCTCCGTATTCCCCATCTCCTCCTCCGTATTCCCCATCTCCTCCTCCGTATTCCCCATCTCCTCCTCCGTATTCCCCATCTCCTCCTCCGTATTCCCCATCTCCTCCTCCGTATTCCCCATCTCCTCCTCCGTATTCCCCATCTCCTCCTCCGTATTCCCCATCTCCTCCTCCGTATTCCCCATCTCCTCCTCCGTATTCCCCATCTCCTCCTCCGTATTCCCCATCTCCTCCTCCGTATTCCCCATCTCCTCCTCCGTATTCCCCATCTCCTCCTCCGTATTCCCCATCTCCTCCTCCGTATTCCCCATCTCCTCCTCCGTATTCCCCATCTCCTCCTCCGTATTCCCCATCTCCTCCTCCGTATTCCCCATCTCCTCCTCCGTATTCCCCATCTCCTCCTCCGTATTCCCCATCTCCTCCTCCGTATTCCCCATCTCCTCCTCCGTATTCCCCATCTCCTCCTCCGTATTCCCCATCTCCTCCTCCGTATTCCCCATCTCCTCCTCCGTATTCCCCATCTCCTCCTCCGTATTCCCCATCTCCTCCTCCGTATTCCCCATCTCCTCCTCCGTATTCCCCATCTCCTCCTCCGTATTCCCCATCTCCTCCTCCGTATTCCCCATCTCCTCCTCCGTATTCCCCATCTCCTCCTCCGTATTCCCCATCTCCTCCTCCGTATTCCCCATCTCCTCCTCCGTATTCCCCATCTCCTCCTCCGTATTCCCCATCTCCTCCTCCGTATTCCCCATCTCCTCCTCCGTATTCCCCATCTCCTCCTCCGTATTCCCCATCTCCTCCTCCGTATTCCCCATCTCCTCCTCCGTATTCCCCATCTCCTCCTCCGTATTCCCCATCTCCTCCTCCGTATTCCCCATCTCCTCCTCCGTATTCCCCATCTCCTCCTCCGTATTCCCCATCTCCTCCTCCGTATTCCCCATCTCCTCCTCCGTATTCCCCATCTCCTCCTCCGTATTCCCCATCTCCTCCTCCGTATTCCCCATCTCCTCCTCCGTATTCCCCATCTCCTCCTCCGTATTCCCCATCTCCTCCTCCGTATTCCCCATCTCCTCCTCCGTATTCCCCATCTCCTCCTCCGTATTCCCCATCTCCTCCTCCGTATTCCCCATCTCCTCCTCCGTATTCCCCATCTCCTCCTCCGTATTCCCCATCTCCTCCTCCGTATTCCCCATCTCCTCCTCCGTATTCCCCATCTCCTCCTCCGTATTCCCCATCTCCTCCTCCGTATTCCCCATCTCCTCCTCCGTATTCCCCATCTCCTCCTCCGTATTCCCCATCTCCTCCTCCGTATTCCCCATCTCCTCCTCCGTATTCCCCATCTCCTCCTCCGTATTCCCCATCTCCTCCTCCGTATTCCCCATCTCCTCCTCCGTATTCCCCATCTCCTCCTCCGTATTCCCCATCTCCTCCTCCGTATTCCCCATCTCCTCCCCCGTATTCCCCATCTCCTCCTCCGTATTCCCCATCTCCTCCCCCCGTATTCCCCATCTCCTCCTCCGTATTCCCCATCTCCTCCCCCGTATTCCCCATCTCCTCCTCTGTATTCCCCATCTCCTCCTCTGTATTCCCCATCTCCTCCCCCGTATTCCCCATCTCCTCCTCCGTATTCCCCATCTCCTCATAACCCCTCCTCCTCCATGCTGTCAGGTATGTCCACAACCAGGACTGGGATGGAGCGCAGAGAGTGGCTGAGCTGTACGACCCGGGGAGTGTTGGTGATGTTCTGGAAGGACAGGCTCGCTTTGCTTTTGAACAGAAAGATTATCAGAAGGCAGAAGCATTCTTACTACGCGCCCAAAGACCGGAGCTTGCCGTGCGGCACTACAAGGTGACTTCCCCGTTACAGTCTTCCATGTTATGTCATGCGTTCCATACATGCGTTCTATATATGCCATGTTTTGGGGGCTGTAGGTATAACTTGTGTGATTTGCGCCTATCTCACCATTTCTTCCTCTTCAGGAGGCTGGCATGTGGAGCGATGCCATCCGAATATGCAAGGAGTATGTCCCCGCCATGCTGGAGCAGCTGCAGATGGAGTACGAGAAGGAGGTGACAAAGAAAGGAGCCAGGTGAGATATTGTAATCTATGAGCGTTTCTACCTGCAGCCTTCATCAGTGGCTATGGGAGAAGGGGACGCAGTGTGCACCGGTCACCGTCTACTCTCCCTGCACCCAGAAGCCACCAGTACATCAGTAATAGGAAATCTTCTCTGCCGACAGGGGGACAGAGGCCTTGGTAGAGCAGGCCCGGGAATGGGAGCAGGCCGGGGAGTATGCCCGAGCGGTGGACTGCTACCTGAAGGTGAAGGATCTGGATAACGTGGTCCTGATGGAGAAGTGCTGGATGAAAGTATGCGTTCACTTTTCACTCTCTCTGCTCTGCGCACCAGCCGCCCGTGACTCATGTTACCGCCATTGTCTCTGCAGGCCGCTGAGATCTCCATCAAGTTCCTGGTACCCAGCAGGAGTCTGGAGGTCATCCGTCTGGTGGGTCCCAAACTGGTCTCTGCCGGAAGACACAATGCGGTGAGGACACAAGATGGTTATTCGAGGATTTTCATTAGAACCACAAGAGAAATCCTGTGTGAGAAGCTTCAGAGGAAGAGAAGAATCTCTAAATCAGCATCACACGTATAGCCGGAGGAAAGCTAAGGATTGCTAGAGCAGTGGTCCTCAACCTGGGGTCTCCACGTGGCCTCTGCTGTGCTAGGTGAGAGGCCTCCTCCCAGTGCAGCAGTGTCAGTTCTCCCGCCGCGCCGCCAGATGTCGCAGCAGCTGCGGCCAGGGAGTGTCTACAGCGGAACTTCTCCATTCACCGCTGCTGCTGTCCTCCCGCCTCCCATACAGTGCAGGAGGCGGTCCTCCATACAGTGCAGGAGGCGGGGCGTCTTACCAGTGCACAGGATGAGAAGGCTGCGCCTACTGAGGAGGCAGAGCGGGCAAGCAAGGGCATCCAGGGCGCAGCTGAGTCCCGCGTCCAGGGCGTAGCTAAGTCCCAAAAAGTTGAGGACCACTGTTTTAGAGGGAATGGCACCAATAGCACAGTGAGCATTGTGTCATGTGACGGGTCTCTAGCTGTGGCTAGATCAGAGCCAGGCTTTGGACCATCAGCGCTAAGCTTGGACCCGCTGTCCTGGCGGGTTCTGACACACGGGTTTCAGTAAGCTCTGTGGACCCAAGTACTGGCGTTCCTCCTCCAGGCGTCAGGTAAGTGAAGGATGAAGCTGATTCTATGATGAAGTGTGACTCTGTCTCTAGGCGGCTGAGCTCTATCTGAATCTGGACCTGGTGAAGGAGGCCATTGACGCCTTCATAGAAGGAGAAGAATGGAACAAAGCCAAGAGGGTGGCCAAGGAGCTGGATTCCAGGTAATTCCTCGTATGGCTGTTTGTCTTCCCCGGGATGAGACCTCTACATAACGCAGGTCATCCTAGATCTACATGCCTCCAGGTCAGAGGTTAATATTGTAATATAATGTCACCCCCAAACCCACATCTTAGGGTTCTCCTACCTGGCAATCCTCTGGTCGGTGGCCTTCCATTAGAGGTCATGACCTCTGTCATGTAATAACCGTTCACTTCAATTCCAAGGTTCCCACCGTACATGTCCCTGGTAGATGGCCTGAGGTCAGAGGTCACCACGTTGTATAATAACAGCCCCAGGTTCCTGCAGCCTTACGAGGAAGATGGTCTGATGTCATAAGTGACCCCCTATTATGTCATTCCGGGTTCTCCTGTCTAGTGGCAGCTGGTCCCAGGGTAAGAGGCTACCACAGCCATGTCCCCCAACTTCATCCCAGGGTCCTTCATCTAATAACAGGGCCCCCCAACTCTATCCCAGGGTTCTTCATGTAATAACAGGGCCCCCCAACTTCATCCCAGGGTTCTTCATGTAATAACAGCGCCCCCCAACTCTATCCCAGGGTTCTTCATGTAATAACAGGGCCCCCCAACTCTATCCCAGGGTTCTTCATGTAATAACAGGGCCCCCCAACTCTATCCCAGGGTTCTTCATGTAATAACAGGGCCCCCCAACTCTATCCCCGGGTCCTGTTGTGTATCCTCCTATAGATGTATTTATGTCAGTGGAGACCACTACCCATCTCAGGGGGCGGCCTAGTGGGAATCTTGGTACCCCCTGCGGACAGCCTGAGGCCCTCACTGGTGTCACTGCGTGTAACATGTTCTCCTTATTGCCCCAGGTATGAGCAGTATGTGGATGACCGATACAAGGACCATCTGAAGAACCAGGGAAAAGTAGATTCGGTGAGGCCATCCATATCTCTGTATGTACATTGTATGTACTGGCCTCCTCCTTGTATGTACATTGTATGTAATGGCCTCCTCCTTGTATGTACATTGTATGTACTGGCCTCCTCCTTGTATGTACATTGTATGTAATGGCCTCCTCCTTGTATGTACATTGTATGTACTGGCCTCCTCCTTGTATGTACATTGTATGTAATGGCCTCCTCCTTGTATGTACATTGTATGTACTGGCCTCCTCCTTGTATGTACATTGTATGTAATGGCCTCCTCCTTGTATGTACATTGTATGTACTGGCCTCCTCCTTGTATGTACATTGTATGTAATGGCCTCCTCCTTGTATGTACATTGTATGTACTGGCCTCCTCCTTGTATGTACATTGTATGTAATGCCCTCCTCCTTGTATGTACATTGTATGTAATGGTCTCCTTGTATGTACAGTGTATGTAATGGCCTCCTCCTTGTATGTACATTGTCCCAATCTACCCGTCCTCCCCACTGCCACTGTCCCCCTGAGCTGTGCACCCCACATCTGTACCCCCAATAATGCCCCTCTACCCCACTCTGTCTCTCCGAGCCCCCTGTACCCCCCAATAATGCCCCTCTACCCCACTCTGTCCCTCCGAGCCCCCTGTACCCCCCAATAATGCCCCTCTA